AGCAATAGTAGTGGTAGTAGTAGCAGTGGTAGTTAGTGGGTGTGGTAGCAGGAGGAGGAGTAGTCGAGGAGTAGTACTAGTAGAAGAAGAAGTAGTAGTACTAGAGTCGCGGAGGAGGCCACCAAGAAAAATCGCAGTCGTCACAGGTAGATTCGTCGATACCGCAAGCGAGATTGTCAGGATGATGGCAGTGATACAATGATAGTAACCTAAATCCTGAACCCTAAACCCTGTGTAATGACTCTAGTATAATGACAGTACAGGTCACACAGGGAGCAATGGTCGTAGTGACCCTGGCCGTATGGAGGTCCGCGCACAGCTCGTGGCGAAGCGGGCGCAGCTGGAAGGCCCGACTTTTAGAGTTTTGGATTATTGTTAATTTTATCACTAATTATGTTTGCTCTTATTAATTATGCTTGCTATTCTTAGTATTACTTCTATTAGCATTATTATTATTACTATTATTACCATCACTACTGTTCTTATTATTCTTGTTGATTATTCTGATTGCTGTTATTGCTGGGACGCTTCGGGGCTTCAACGTGAGTCCAGTCGTCGGACGACTATTGTATCCATGCCTTGTCATTGGCGTCCGTTGTGACCCCATGCGTCCGACCACCACAAAGATACCTTCGCCTTTTGCTAGCTGTGCCTCAATCTTGTAGAGTGTTTGTCGCTGACAATCAATGCCCCACACCGACTGCGGCAGGGGGTGTATAGCACTCAACCATGTGGAGAGTGCACCGGATCAGACTGTGGTGCTTTTCAAGTATCTTCGCACACACACACACAGAGGAACAACCAGAGGAGCCTAGAGTGGTTAAGTATTAGAAGCAGCTAGAAAAAAACGGGAATCACAAGGACAAGCTCCTTGTCCTGAGCGATGTGAATCCCCTAAACTCTAGATGCCGAGCGCGATTTACATCCTGAACCCTGAACTGAACTCTAAGCCCCAAAGCGCTGGAAAGGGCTCCTGGAGCTCCGCCGCGCTTGCGAGGTGCGACAAGCACAAAAGATCAACATCGGATCGTACGGAAGTTTTATGGGATTTTATTCGAGTTTTGAATTTTGTGGGGGTTTCATACGGTTTTGAAGGGTTGCGTGGGATTTCTGAAGCTAAGCAGCACGTTGTGCAGGGGTGCTTGTATGAAGATCCCAGCGCTTGGGCCCCTATGACCCGTCATACTGCCAACTTGCATTTTCTCACCAACTACCACACTACAGCTGTCGCTCAGACCCTAAGCCGCTGAACCCTAGGCCCTAGGCCCTATAAGCCTCCTTTTTTTCTTTCCGAGGCCAGAGCTGGCGCTGCCATGCGCGAGGCCGAGCTGGCGCAGGCGCGTGGAAGGTCTTTAGCCGACTTTGGGATCTTGTATACAGTTTAGGGTTTAGGCATAGCTCCAAAGAGTTAGATCATGAGGATACTGATAGCAGTGACAAGAAGCTGAGTAGTAACAGTAGCAATATTGTGGTGCGTTTCTTGGGGTTCCGTCCTAAGCCCAACAGAGTGAACCAAGCCTTCTTCTCCCTGATCCGAGCTCGCGAGGTTTTAGCCCCCAAACTTGGAAGCTCCTTCGTTTCCGAAAGCCGTAAATCTAAGCCTTCAGCCAACCCCGAAACCCTAAAACCGAAGCCCCAAACCCCTAAAACTCTAAAGCCATAAACGGTACTTAATCCCCCCACCCTTTTGATGGACCCCGGACCCCTAAACGATAAAACCAGGCCGAGGCCGACGCCCAGCGTGCGGCCGCTTCAGCCGCGGAGGCTCTGCGCCGCGAAGAGGCGCTGGATCGGTGTGGGGCATTTATAGGGTCATACATACATACATGCATACATACATGCATGTGCATACAGGTACATAGGGATGTATATGGTGTCATGAGTGCGGATGCTTGTGTCAAGATGCTGAACAGATTAAGCCAAAGAGTGAAGGGGCAGAGTGGAGGAACAAGAGCAAGTTGAGACATAAAGCGGCATATGAAAGACAGACATACATATATATATATATGTATATGTATAAACATATATGCACACATGTAAACAAGCATAGACAGGAATACGAGTAATTTGGACAACCGAGACAAACAAGGATGAACAAAACCCGCACACACCGAAGCACATGCCCACCTACCTAAATGCATATATGAAAATTGAAAGTAGCAAAAAGGTCCACGCATACATGCATGTACAGACACGAGTGCAACACCGAACCTCATAGAAGCACATGTAAACAACAACCAAAATGTGCGTCTAAACACGAGTATAGATGTGATGGTAGATGCATGTGTGTGTGGGTGTATGTAGGGAGAAGCCAAGCCCGTAGGTTTCAGCGCATTCTCTGTGAGGAAGCAGTGCGTGGCCTCCGTGCAGCACGGGTGCAGCGTGCAGCGCACTCGGCCCAGCAGCGGCGAGCTGTGGAGGACTGTGAGTCGGGACAGTGTGTCGGGGTTCGTTCAGAGCTTTTGGATTCATGGCTGTTTCTGTTCATTTAGGGAGGCTAGGAAGGTTGTGGGCATGCTTGGAATGGTTGAGACTCTTTTCCTTCCGGGCGACGCAGAATAGCAGGAGTGCCAGAACATGAACCGGAAAACTCAGAAAGATCCTCAGGGGCCTCGCACGGTGGGTTGCTTCAGTTCTTCGGAAGCCTGCTTTGGGGTTGGAGGTTCAAGGGACGCGAAGGGGCCTCGTTTGATGGGGGAAAGAATAGCAGCAACAGTGATGTTTATTCAGAACAGCAGTGTCAATGATAATCTTCAAAATCATACAGCGAAGCCGATGGCAATACAGTTTTTCATAGTTCCGCGGAACAGAAATACTGGTACGGCAGCTTTGAAAATGGCAAGCAAAAGCAGAACAAGCATGACGGGGATGGTCGGGATGGTCAGACTAGTGGGGCAGCAAGTAAATGCGGCAGCAGCAGTAGCAGGAGGAGGCGTGGTACGACCCGCAAGACCCCCTACGACTACCCAAAGGAGTCAAACCTCACCGCCTGCTGTAGCAGTACCGCGTGACACGTGTAGTAGTCAGAACAATCATTGGGCTAGTCGCAACAATGCGCATGGAACACTTTTCATTCAAGGCAGCGCCATCAAAAAGAAGCCTCAGACCCTGACCCACAAAGTACGACAGACCCCAGAGGAGATGCAGAGAGCTTCAGAGGCGGGACAGCCAGCAGCCGTTTGCCTTCAACGCCATGCTATTTCGGGATCTTTCTTCAGCCGTGCAAGGCTCCTCTTGATTCTTTCGATTTCATGTTATAACAGTAGAACATGCCACAGCATGAATCAATGAGAATGAGATGCAGCAGTCGCAAAGGTGCCGGCACGAAAAAATGTCTCCGCAGATTGAGAGGTCGAGGTCTGTCTCTGTTGCAGTGTCGTGCTTGTTTGTTTTCCTGTCTCGCTGTCTGTCCACAATGGTATGTCGTTCTGATACGCGCAGTCTCACTTAGGCTGCTTGGGAAAAGATGGCAAGCGGAACAGGGCTGCATCTCGCCTTGGGGAAGTCTCGCAGTGCAGGTGGCTGCCGCCGAGCGAAAGCGCGCACAGCGCGCCGCTTCACTGGGCCGAATGGCACAGGCAGCGAAGGCGGGCCAGTGATGCACCAAGCCAATCCTAGCTTTGAGCAAGCGAGCTCTTGTTGCTGTTGTGATCCAAGCCAGTGGCTCATGGCTGTTTGATCGCCGATGGTATGCAAAGCCTTCACTTTCTAGTTGCTTCAAGGACCCTACACTTCCTGGAAGCTCTGCCAATGACTCAAGCCAGATCATGCTCGAATCCCTCTGGGCGCCAAGGGCCCTTCAGAATGTGCTGACTGCTGCACAGCTCTGTAAAGCCCCAGGCTCTAAGAAGGGTCGAGACTGGTTTCACAAGTGGAAGCCCCGGAGCTCTGTTACAAGGAGCTGGTTCGGCGCGAGGCGGAGCTCCGTGAAGTGAAGGCCAGCGGCAAGGGAACCGCTTCAGGGCGGAGCTTAAGCGGCTTGGGGACGTGTTGCTTTGGGTGTTTAGGGTTTTAGAGATTCATCTTCCTAGAGGTCTTAGGCCCCGGCAACGAGTTTGGTGGTTTAGGGCTCGTAGGAGTTTGAGATGTCGGGCGAAAGCCTGCAACTGACGAACGTTGGGTTGAGGTGTGGGGAATCCAATAGTTTCGCAGCCCCCCTCACCGATCCAAAAGGCTTTCGGGTTTACCAGCTGAGTTCCCTGCAACGCCCAAATCAGGCTGAACCGGCACCCATGGAGGTTGTCGAGGCCGTCGGCTCAGCTCCGTCAGGAACCGCTTGGTTGGTGAAGATTGCAAGGGTTTTCTTTTCAAAGGCAGCCCCAAGGACACTTATACCCGTAACCCCACTCCCCAATCACCTCCGCGCCCAGCCTCACCACCACGAAAGCGCCCAAACCGCGAAGACCCGGATCCATACGGCGCTCGTCCCCGATGATCATGATAAGGCTGCCACCGAGCTCCCGCGCCGGGCGCCGCGGCCCACACCCGAGCAGCGAAAAGCCGCAAGGCCCGGGCTCTCAGGAAGTCCTCAAAAGGGGGGAGTGGTTCATGGGACCCCTGCCTGCATCGTTGGTCATGACGCAGACCCCTTATTCCTAACGGCTCTGCAGCTTGTCCTGTTGATGCTTGCGGCTTCAGGGCTCGGGATCTCATACCCTGCACCGAGCTACCGGAGAGGCATCAGGACGTTTCGCAAAAACCAACATTGCAGGCCATTGCTCCAGGCGTAAAACCCACACCCCAAACAGCTTCCCGCACAAGGTGTGAAGGGAAGGGACGAATACTATTGCTCTTCCTGTAGCGATTACTTTGATGTATAGCATTTTTACTGGTATTGCGATTGCTTTTACAAGCTCTGTTTTATATCTCTACCGCTACTACTGTCACGATTACTACTACCAGATTCCAAGCAAACGACCGAAATCTGCTCAGGGCCCGCAGTGCCGCGGCTTGGCGGCGGGAGGAGGTTGCGAAGCCGCCCGGCTCGGGTTACAGCTTCGCTTTGTGGTTGCGGCTTCTTCTTGTGGTGGCTTTGGGGCTCATGACATGGTTCAGGTTTAAAGGTTTAGGGAGATAGGTTCGGTGTTTAGCGGCATCTGGGGGCTACAAGGGCTAGCCGTCTACGCAGCATATTTTTGAGGTGTACCGAAAGCTTTTAGCCTTTTTTGGGAAGGTTGCTGCCAGGATGCTTTTCTGCAGACCAACTTCCGTCTTTCCCTGTACCTCGAGGAACGTCTCAAACTCGAATTCAACGAAGACCAAGCCAACGTTTAAGCCACGTGGCAAAACAGGCCCTCAACCTCAAACTGCCTCAAACCCTGACCCTGAAACCTGTTTGTGCCTAAATCCTGTGGAAGAAGATGTCATGCCCTCGCTGATGGAAACGAATGACTCAGACTCATCGCAGCCGTGGGCACTTGCAATACAGCACTGGTGCAACTGTAATGTGGCGTCGGTGCGAAAAGACTGTTGAGCGCGTGATTGCAGCTTGAGTTGACTCACTTGTGATAAGCATGGCATCGGCTGTGAGCCAACAATACCACACTACACAGTGTGTGGCCCAGGTGCGAGGAGGCTTCCGCTCGTACCAAAGCCGAAGATGCCAGGAAGGAGCGGCACAAATTAGGGGGCAGGAGGGCTGGGGAAGCTGGGCTCGCCGTGTCGTGGTGTCTACGGAGCCTGGGTTGGTGTGTAATGTCAGTAGCTAAGTGAATGTAGCTGTTTCGTTTGGTTTTTGTTGGCTGTCTCTGTCCCTGCCTTTATCAGTCTATCCGTCGGTACATCTGCCGAATTGTAATGGTATCAACCAGTACTCAGTAGGCATGGTCCGAAGGCTACACGTAGGCTTCATTGCTTTCTCGGCCGCAAGTCCCAGAGCCTGGACTCGCCTCGCAGATCAACCGTGCCAGAATCTGCAACCCTGTGAAGCTTCGGAATGCGAGGCCATGAATTTCAACACATGCTTTGGGTGTCCAAGTCAAGACTATTGCCAGTGTGAAGGTCCTGGCACGATCAGCAGGGCTTGCTCCGGATGAAGCGAAAACGATCTTCAGAACTGTTACCAAAGCTCTCACTGGATTCGGGAGATTCCTCCCTTCAAACCCGCTTCTGTACATCGAGGTGACTATACTTTACCCACGATGACTCCCGAACCCCGCCTTACACCGTAGCTGCTGTAGCTCCTATACTCTTAAATCCTGAGCCCTAAACTCCAAAATCCCAACGCCTAAACCCTCAATCCCAGACTCCTAAACCCCAAATCCAACCATGAAAAAAACCAACAAAACAGAACGTGCAATCAACCGCAGACCCAGTTTTAGCGAACAGTGAATAGTACAACGCAGCAAAAAGCGGCTGAAGTTCAAACGTCTCCACTCTGCGGGGCAGCAAACAGACCACAGCGTTGCGAAGTTCGTTTGCTCCTCAGCGAGATCCAACAATGGGCGCCGGAGGCAAACCAGCCTCCAGACCTCCCGTGTAGTTGCACCTTGCCTTTCTTGTACCGTACATTTTGCATCTCTGACAAGCCCTTACTTTAGAGAATTGTGCGGCTGCCTTTTGTGCAACCAGCCTACCGTGCATGTACCCAACCCGGGAGGTTCGGTGCATGGTTGCATTTCAAGCAAAGATGCTTCGCATGTCTCCATAAGATTGTGAGCAGGTTTTACCGGTTTACGGGCCCGGGCTGGGTCCAATTTCGAGGCCTAAACACGACACCCGAAATGGGATCTTCCTTAAGAGTTGCCAACCCGGCGGGCCCTTTTTTGGACCCAATTTTGAGGCAAATTTCTGGCTTCAAACTGGGGCACACCAGGCTCAAGAACTGCACGAATTCTGCAGCGAACCCAGGAGCGCATGCAGAAGATCAGCGCCGTGGCCGAGGCCCGGGTGGCATCTACCCGGGTTAAGAGTTAAGGGTTTTGGGTGTAGGGTGTAGGGTTTAGGGTTTGGGGTTTGGGGTTTAGGGTTACTATAACGGGTTACTGTTATGTGGCTGCTTTTATAGACTGGCTTACTCGGGTTGCTTTTCTGGCTAATATACGGGTTGCTAAGAGGGTTCTGACCCTTTCAGATGACGGTGGCGATCGGTCACACTATACGGGTTGCTGGAATCGTTTCTGTAAGGTTTCCAGGGGTAGGTATGTATTGACTGGAGTGTTCTGGTTTGAAGGCTTCGCTGTCCCGGCGTCAGAGAACTGCCGTTCAGCTCAGAGGTTTTCGGCTTGGTTTGGCATTGAGTTGATGCTGATATCAGGGCTGAGGGGTTTGGTTGAAGTTCTGGCAATCCTAATCAGCTATTGTTTGGGGGATTTGTGGCCATGTGAGCAGTGCCGTAAACAGCGACCTGTTCACCGCCTGGGGGTTTTCAGAAGAGGATGCCCGAAAGAGGGAAGGTGCAGGTAACCTTGGTGTTTACTTCTCAGTTGTCGTTGGGAAAAAAGGATTTGTGGCAATGAATCTTGTTACTGCATTCTGGTTGTGATGCTGACGAGCAGCATCAGTAGGCGCATGCCTTTTTCGCACAGTTCTAGCGTCCGTCAGGCCGCAGCAGAGGCTGCCGAGGCAGCACAGCCGCGACATGGCCCTGTGGAAGAAGCACAGGAGAAAATTGCCTCAATGCGGCTACAGATTCTGAAGATGATACAGGTTGCCTGATCCGCATCATCTTCATAATTTCACCAGCATCTTCAATACCATCATGATCACCATCATCATCATCATCGTCGTCATCATCATCATCATCACATCATCTCAGTAGAACCGTCACCGTTGCGGCCGTTGCCAATGACGGTGCGATCAAAATGTATGTGATCATTCCCATCGTCGTCGTCATCATCGCCATCACGAATATAGCCCATCGTCGTCGTCATCATCATCAACAACATCATCACCGTTGTTGTCAACATGACCGCTGTTTTGATAGCAAGCACTAAACGAGATGTGACATGAACAAGAACTAGCCATCATGCCAGCCGTAGCCTGCTCTACGACTCTACGGAGATACGGAACAGTTCAAGCGTTATAATTGCTACAGGTGTAGCAGCTATGAAACTGCAGTGCTACACAACAGCAACTAGCAGGCTCTAGGGGAAGTCGCAGGGAGGTGTAAGACTTCGGGGGTTTCGGCAGGAAAGCGCTTGGGCGGCCACGGCTGACCGTCGTGGTCGGAACCAAACAGGCAAGCACAAAGGCTTCCAGATAGATAGTTGACAGCAACAGCAAGCACCGTACGCTTAGAATAGCAAACAGACGAAGTCGAACAGAAGACTAACAATTGGAATCATAGTAGCAATAGGAAGAATAAGGCCAGTTGGAAGAGCAAGAATGACAAGAACAACACGGCTCTCAACACTAAAGCTCGTATGCATGTCCACAGCCATGAGGAGATTCTCAGTGGCTTCGCAAGAACAGCAAAATTAGCAGGCACAGAGAAATAATGTTGAGACCGACACTGAAAAATGGTGACAGACGCCATGTGGAAGATGTTCAGCAGCAGCCCGAATAACGGTTCCAATCGCAAGGATATCCGAGTTGCCATACTGATGTTACCAGTCATCTCAGTTACATCGGGGCCAAAACCCTCAACCGCCAAAACTTGCCCTAAGGAATCTGAAAGAGTAGTGGCTTGCCAGGAGGTCTCTCTCTGCGAAGACTGCAAGGAGATGCGTGCAGAGTTGGAGCTGCTCGGCGGACTTGTCTTTTGGGTAGGGTTTAGGGGCTTTGATAAGTCCGCGGGGCTTGGCAACATCAGAGCTTCACTCAGGGTAGCCATAGCCGTAAGGGCATAAAACAAGGAGCTGCTTGCGACTTTTATTCATGATCCTCCAAATCGCCATGTTGGAGTTACTGCCCTTCCCTCGGCGGCCGATTTCAGGTGCTTACGGAAGAAGGCAGCTGACCCTGAGCCACAGTCCGAGGGTGGACCCCACACGGAATGGCCAAGCACTTAAACCATGAACCATGCATGTACAGAATGTCGCTCATTGCATTGATTATCTACACTCGCTGGATCCTCTGCTCCCAGCGGAAACTGGTCAACTTCAGCCCCGAGCCTCTCAACCCCTAACCGTGCATTGCACCGACCGCTTCAAAGACAACTCAGGCGTCTCTTGTCATATCGCACACTGTCCCCACGGGAGCTCAAAGGCCGGGGGCCGCATACCTGGACTCTTTTCTCGTGTTGCAGTGTGCTTCCTTCCTACATCTGATTGTCGTCTTGGTGTCATTAAAACAGTTCTTACTTTCTGGCTTTTGCAGTGGTACTCGTGCTCAGATCCCTTGCGCGGACTTAGCAATCTCGTACTCAAGGCTTATACACTAAGGCTAAGGCTTATAGAAACCGCCCCGAAAATGGTTCGGGCAGCCTATAGCTCTATAGCCGTGAACACAGAGATCCCAGAAGCCCTCAGTCACCCAAAAGACTGCAATAGATGTCCTTGTGGCTTAGACCATGGTCCCCGCTGTGAACGGTCTTTTGAGCAGAGCTTCCCAACCCCCGTGTGATGTAAGTGGAGCTAGAATTTCGGCCGAAGATATGCAGAGGCCCCTCCAATTCGGAGCAGCCACTACCAGCACCCTGCGCTGATGTGGAGTCCGCGAGTGGTATCCTCGGCTGCAACATGCAACGGTGATGCATGCAAGCCTATGCCACTCTGCCGCAGTCCGTACCTGTGGTACAAGACACTGGTACAAGTCGAGAGTAACATAGCATTACGTAAACAGTGCTTTATTGGTAACGGTGACTGAATGCCTGTGTGGGTCACTTTCCAGCGCTATGTTTTTGGTCCGGTGCTGAGTATTCAGCTCGGCACCCACGCACAACAACGCCACGCCGGACAGAACACACTACACAGAACTTCCCCGCCAGCGTGACAGAAAGGCCGTGTCCACTGCTGCATTAGGCGAGCCCCGTAACTGATTGACTCTTCAATTCTCGTGCTACCGGTATCAGCGCCGCACCAGTATTGAAACATCAGCGGATAGAGAGAGAGAAAGAGAGAGCTCGTTTGCATTCTGATTCCTTGTCTGATCTGATAGCCTGCACCCTGCACTCGAAACCGTCGCTGAGGCCCCATAGTTCTGGAAGAAAGTCTGCATGACCTCGAGCCCCCGTGCCCGGACTCGGATTCGCAGGGCTTCGGCCTGAGCTCGGAGCTCTTCGCTGTCCTTTTCCGCAGCGCGCGTCGTCTGCGCCTCGCAGGTCCGGAGCAGACGCTGCGAGTCCTTGACTTTGGCGGGGCACCGAGCACTGCGATGATGGGAGAAGCCGACAAGGAATTCTACTGGATCGGGGTTGTTATCAGCAGACAGTTGGCGTGCTATGGGAATCCAGAGAGTTTCTTGAAGGGCCGTGGTCGTGGTGAGGCCAGGAGAGTCTGGCGGAGGTCTTGCGCGAGAGCTGCCGGAGCTCTGAGTCTGAGGGTGTGGGTCCCGGCTTCTCACAGTTTGTAGAAGGATGCCAAGTTTGGAGGACGATGAAGCTACTACAACTACAACTACAACTAGCAACAATTGATGTGGTCGCGGTCGTGGTGACGGTGGCGGCCCCGGTCTTCGTCCACGTTCTCTTCCTCGTCCACGTCCTCGTTCTGTGCGTGGTCGTAGCGGTGCTGTTGTCGTCGTTCTTGCTGCCCGTCGTACATGTAATGTGCATGTGCTCGTACTTGCAGCCTGGTATGACCGTCATCACCCTAGTTGTCATAGTCATCTCTGTGGTAATAGCAAATAAAAGAGCAGGGCCAGGAGGTGTTGGGAAACAGACGCGCGCAAGATTTCATGACCCGAAACATGTCATCTTGCCTCCTTGTCTGCCGGTACTCCATGGACTGGAAATAGCAAATCCTGGACCCCAAGCTCCCGAAGCTAACCTCTGAAAGCTACGCGACACCCGAAAGAATCGGGACCCATGAGGGGTGGAGCTGCCTGCCACATCGGCACAAGTGCTGCTGCCTGGGGCAGAGGCTCCATCAAATCTCGAAGCCAGCTCAGGGTTCAGGGGCTGAGGAGCTTCGGTCTGTAATGATTCGGGGTACACGACTTTGTGTTGTTACATTGGCAAACAACATATTCTGACATTAGGACAGACAATGACAGACAGATTCATGTAGGTCGTACGCGTTTCAAGGACTTTCTGAATGTTGCCTGAACCGATCTGGGCGCTGGGAAGGCCCTGCGTTGCAAGCTATTATACCGCCTCCTCCCCAAACCCTATTGTAATCAGATCATTAAAACCCCTATATTACACGTGGTAGCATGCCTCCGAATTGCCAAGCCCGAGAGCCTGAGAGCTCCGGCTTCGTTCGGGCCCTCGTCGAAGCCCCTCGCGCCTGCAGAAAGGTCTCTGCTTCTGATGCGCTCGACTCACAAAGTCTCGGCCTCGGTATAAAAACGGCCCGAGGTCCGTGAGCACCGTTGAGCCCGCAATGTGAGCCTCTGAAGCCCATCAGCCAAAGCTCACCATGCTGACCGTCACATAATTAGTACACTCCCAGTGTTTGAGGGTTCAGTGCTGCCGAGAGAGGCACATGAGGACAGCGCATGCAGGCACTTGCCTTGGATGAGAACATCCGTGAAGACATTTGGTGCAAAGGATGTTGTGCAGACATGAGGCCCGGCGAACGGCACGCGCTTTTTTTGGTAGAGTCCGAGATCGGGAGTTTGACGAGGCAAAGACAGCCCTCATGAATTCAGATATGTCGTGGCGACACAGCGCCTTGAACCAGACTTTCTTGTTTTTCATCGCTCCTCGAACTCGTCGTGGCTCAGGGCCACTGGCGAGGCAATGCATTCGCATAGGTGTAGATCTCACCTGTGTCGACAGCAACAAGCAGACTCCCCTTTACTATACAGCAGCTACGAGGCAACTTCACAATGATGCGATTCCTTCTGAACCATGGCTTTGAAGTTAGCTTCACGGATCGATGGAAGAAAACGGCGATTTTCTATGCAACTCGAAGCAAACATGCAGAAGTTGTGAGACTGCTTGTAGAGCACGGGGCCAACATCGTTGCGAAGTCCGATCTGGGTGTAACCCCACGAAGGCTTTTGCGCGACCGCCCCGAAGAGTTTCTCAGCTTGAAGCGGAGGCGATCCGCAGTTTCCTCGCCGGATTGTGCTTGTCCGGGTGCCGTAACCAGATTGAAGAAGGAAGAAGGAGAAGAGGATGATGAGCCACTCATCGATGTGGACAAGGCCACTGTGTTGGCTCAAAATGATTCCTATGCCTGTGTCGTTTGCCAACGTGCCAGTGGATGTAACAAGCGCATTCGGCGGTCGGAGAGAGAGAGCTCGCAGGGACCATGCGCACCTCCATGCAAGTCTGCCGTGGTACCGTACCAAGACTTAGAGCCCGAAGCTGCCGGAGGATTGGTGAATGTGCCCCTGAAGGCTAGCCAAGCACGGATGGAGCGTATTGACAGGATGACAAGCGGCTTCGATCCTTCTTCCTTCACATTACCTGCGGTGCGCAAAGAGACAAAGACCATTGCCGGGTATTTCATGCCACCTTTGATTCTGACCAAAACAACCTTGAAACTTGAAACATGTCATTGTAAGGTCGACCGTGCACACAAAGGAAGAGGTTTGGGAGGATTGCTGTTGGGGGCGGCGGGGGCCAACGTCGGAATCGACAAAGGCATCACAAGCTTCACAGTAAAATTCGTCGTCTCGGAAACGAATGCGGCGTCCAGGAATTCTATGAAAAAAGGCTGGTTTCAAGAAGTTTGGCCGCAGTGACTCTGCATTTCCACCGACTGCGTGCCCACAGAAAATCCAATGGCCGCCCATGTCAAAGACCGTTACAAGTTTCAGTGTTTCACATGACTGAAGCAGCCATCTTTGAAAGCAAGCGTGTAAAGAGCACGTGCTCAGATCCTTGTACGGATACTAAAAGGGTCTAAACCATAAACCTGAATTTCGAAACCCTCAGCAGCTTTGTGCGTCGCACAGGTTTGGAGTTCTCTACACGCCAAAGCCAGATTTGGTCCGAGTCGCGAGCACGCGAGTGATGTTGCGGTTTCCTGCCAAACGCCCAACAGGGATAGCCGTGAGCACTGCGACTCCAGAAACCTTTTGGTCACCCAAAAGACCACAGTATAACAGGAAAACAGCCCCGCGATGAAAGCCATAGCCGAAATCCAGATCAATCTTAGATATATGTCAGGAAGGCGCAGATTTATGTGTGCAAGCGTCTCTGATGGTCGGAGTTTAAAGCTTTGGGTTCACAGGGTTTCTTCGAGCAGCTAGTTTGTGGCAAAACCGCGATCAGCTAGAACTCAGTCATGATCGGGAAAAAATGTTTTTAGTCTACTCCCAGAGTTGCCAAGCGGTCTTGATGTGTTGGGGCTTGCAGTTTAGTTTCAGAAACTCCGCCCCAACTAAACTCGGACCGTTTGGGCTGTACGCCGGTGTATGTACATCCGAGCCCTACCCCAAACCCTGAACCCGCGAGCCTTTGTCCGGCTGTCAACCCCACAGCTACTGATGTCCGACAGCACCCCAGTTCCATTCCGGGCTCAGGGTGCCCCGTCTCCAACAGCACCCCGGTAGATCCCCCTGTGCCCGTAAATCGAAATCCCTGGATTGCAAGGCTGCGCCGAGCCCTCCGGCACAAGCCCTGAGGAGAAAACGCAGGTGCCCTTTCCGCCAAAGTTGTTTTGGAAGTGACTCACACTGAAACTTAGGATTTTACTTGCTGCGCTCAGACTGTAGTGCGAGGGGTGCTAGCTTGAAACAGAAATTGTAGCTAGGTGTTTGGCGGACACTTAGCTGCTGCACACCAGGTAAACTGGCATGGGAGCATGGGAGGGAGGGAAACGCTTGCACAAACTTTAAAACCCTCGGCGGGAAGGGCAGGTCCCTTGTTCATGCTTCGACGCCCAAGACAGGTCGAGCTTCCAAAACTGTGCAGTTTAGCCGGACCGGAATTCACGTGTGAGAGCCACAGGTGAGACCTCAACCGACAGTTCAACTCACTGTTGAATTTGCCCGTCCCAGCTGGAGCTTACCTGCAAACGGACACCGAGAGGAGTCTGAGCCCATGCTAGGACCATCCGGCTCCTTCCGACGAGATTCCTGCTACAGACGTCTTCGACGAGTCGACCGATGAGGTCAAAGGCAGCCTCGGATTACAGTATCATCCACCTTATCATCATGAGCATCACCATATCATCACCATCAACACCATGCTTACTCCTCATCTCCTCCTCCTCCGACTACGACGACGACACTACTACTATCCCTGCTGCTGCTGTTGCGACGACGGCGATTGCTACTGCTACTGCTACTACTACTACTACTACTACTACTACTGCTACTGCTACTACTACTACTACTACTACTATGTTATTATTACTACTATTAATCTTATTCTTATTATTATTCCTCTTCTTCTT